TTGAAGGCCAGCGAACTTCTGCAGCACCCGGTATGCGAGCGGAATCAAAATGCGTGCGCAGGCTCCGGACTGTAGGATGGATAGAGTAAACGACCTGTTGTGACCCTTGATAAACAACTGTTGCAACGCAGCTTACATAGCACAGTTTCACGATCTTACACAATCTTGATCTCTTAACCATGAACCCCGCTCCTTCACCGCATGCCTGGCGACCTCGTCCGCCGTTTATCCTGACGATATCTATCCGCAGTTCCTTCTCGTTGCTGAAGCGGAGCTCGAGGCTTCTTTCGGGCAAGGGCCTGGCGGCTTCGGCTTGGGCGCTGGCACAGCCGAGCTAAGCTAGGGGCATGGCGTAACGGCCAGATTTGGCCGCGGCCAGGAGTAACAGAAGCCGTGCCACTCATTGCCATTTATTTCCGATTCAGCATTGACGCCGCGACGTGTCGGCCGCGATCCTCAAGATGGACTTCGGACGAACAATGATTGTGCGCTGTGGGATGCGCGCCATTCAGCGGTACCGTCAAGCACCGTGTTAGTCGAAGATCAGGTTTTGTAGCGGGCGTTTCTCGCCATCCTTGACTACGCGAAGACAATCTTCGAACGTTGTTGTGTTCAGGAGCCAAAATCACCTCCGCTCGTGGGAAACCAAGTCAAAAGGCGTGCCAAATCTTGATGTAGTGTACTGTAAGTCCGAATTGTCACCGGAGAGCTATGTATTCTACTGAAAGTCCGTTTCGTTCGTTGTCGCTGTATCGTATCCCCTTCGCTCAAAAGGCACGGGTGCATCTTTCTTTGTTTGTTTTCCGACAACACCCTTGCCGCATCTTTGATGTATATGGTAAGTCGTTACTGTCGTGGTGGTTGTTGCAGTTGCAGAGTTAGTTGTGGCTGTTGGCGTCGTTGCTACACTATTAATATTCGTGCCTTTCCCTGTCTCAAGACTCAAGACTGCGGTCGCCAGAAAGCGGAGGCAAAAGCTACGGAAGGAAGTGTATGAGGAGGGGCTGTTATCCTACGGGTGCTGGGGAGGGACATGGGGACATGATTAAGAGCAAAGTTCATGGCGCTTGGCGGGGTAGGCGGACGGGGCTGGCTACTGCTGTAGGTGTTCGCTTTCCTACGGCGGCGAGGGCCGGAGAGCTACTAGTAGTCTACGTCTTTTAGACACAGTTCGGGAGCCAAAAAGGGGCGCAGCCTGTATGGACGTGTTCTTATATGTAATGATTCTCGGCGTATGTGGCGCGAGGGATTTTCCTGTGCCAGTCGATGGAGGTGGGCCTATGCGTCTGCCACACTCAGCATGAACGTAGCTGGTAGCCAAAAACGAAATAGTCTCGGCTACTTGTGCTGGGTCCCAAAGGCATATCACGCAATCACCAACTCATATGACAGTAGGAGAGGTCTCATCTTCGACTCGGGAAGAGATTCTTAGCCAGGCATGGCTCCTGTGGTAAACAAGTAGGACATGCACACGGCAGTAGCAGGCCCTCTCGTACAGCCATCTCCTCAAAGCATCGACAATCCTCGATGCCCGACGAGAAGCGCGCTCATCATGTGCGGGCCGAGACTTGCCGATGACATACAAATTGGATATCATCCACGTTTGACCACCACTTACCACTTTGGCTGGGGAAAATGTGGAGCAGGAGTGCGTTTCTTCCGCAAGTCACCATTGACAGCCACAACTCAACCACGATTCCCACGCGCCACACCCCACTGTCCTCCTCACTCTAGGTTCTAGGCCCCCTGCCCCGCGCTGTGTGGCGTGTGACTGCTCGCCCGACATCCCCACAGGTTGGCAGAACTCCGCCTTATTGCCGCCATTCCTCCGAAAAAGAGAGAGCGGTCTCGGTTGTTGTATATCTGGCTGCCCACTCGACCATGCCAGCTCATTGTTTCATCCTCGTGTTTCGTTCCTCCCCCTGTCTGTTTGACAAGCGGAACACGGTACCGTATGTCGTTGCGCGATCCTGCTCTTTGGATCCCAGTAAATTGATGTGAAATGATTCCACGGATCCCCTTTTGGCGAGGGGCGTCGCAGAGCGCAGGTCTCCCCTGCTGATGCTGCTCCTCATGTCCTGTCCAAAGCTCGTGTCTGCTATTCCTCGTCCCCAAAACCTTGCACGCGCTTGGATTCGTGGGTCTACGCGTAACTCCCCAAGTATTATTCGTTCCCTCCCAGGCCAAGGGCAGAAGAGAGATCGGCCGCTGGGCGGGAATTGGTTAGTCTAAAAATCAGCAGACCCAAACTCTCGGTCCTGTTGCTGTGGTTCATCCATCGCATCATGCCGCGCGAGATCATCACCCTGCAGGTTGGGCAGTGCGGCAACCAAAGTGAGTATCGGCCCGTAGCTAAGAACTGCAGAAGTGTTTGTCAGACATCGCTGCATGTAAGCTGCTGCTTGGAAATCCCCTCCACGTTCAAGTTCTCTCGCGTGACTGGAATTCATATTTCAGCATTCAAAAAATTCAAAACCAGGCAGCGAAGACCTTCGCACTCCCACAGCAGTGGTATGCGCGTTCTGTATCTGAGACGCTTTGCGCTTGCTTTGTTTGGGGCAGATTGGAAAGAGCACACAATCAATATGGTGCCCTCTTTGGTCAGCTAGATGTAAGCCTGCGATCGCCGAAGATGTCTTCTTCAGCTCGAAGGAAAATTAATATTTCTCACAGCACTAGTGAAGCAGAGGTCGGAACGGTGTTTTCCTGTGCGTTCAACAGCAACACCCACGCCAACACCGGCATCATCAATAGCCAGCGTTCTCGCGATAAAAATATCTCAGGCAGGAACCGCAGGAAGGGGTCCAGCCCCCCCCCTCCTATGTGACCCCGGTTGGGTCGTCTAGCTAGTAGAAGTGGAGGATAGGGGCCAGAGGGGCAGACGACAGAGTCCAATGATTGGAGAAAAAAAAAAAAAAAGCAGCGACGATGACAACAACAATAAATACTCATACCTGTCGACCATGCCATCCAGCGATGACCGCAAGCAGGAACATACCCTCTCTGCTGTTCCTCCAGCAGACAGAGCCCCCCAGGGAAAGTCGCACAGATTATGTCAATCAACAGCTGATGTTCGGGAGCCATAAAAAACAGGGTACACGTCGATAAAATTCTGTACAAAGTACCATGTGGCAAGGAGCTTGTGCAGAGTGCTACATATGCTGCACGATGGCTACCTGTAGCACCACGGATAACTCCGCCGTCGATTTTAAAGATGTTCACCCCGTTCTCTTGTGTGTATGATTGCCTGCTGAGCATGATACACGTGGTCCATACCACAAACATCCCATACTCCACACAAAACACACATCTCGTCTTCCTCGTGGAATATACGAATATACCATAGTATACCATGGTAGACCATAAGATACCCCGCAGTCCTGATAACGACGGTTGACTTGCGGCACCCTCCACCTATGATGCCTCCAGGCTATACTGGTTTGTATACCGAAATATTGCCAACAGTGCTTGGGTGCAGAGGGGCCAAGGCGCGGCGGGAGGTACGGGTGCCTTAAGCCAATCTCTTGCTCCTTCTCATCGATCTGTCGCCCTTCCTTACGTTGCGTTTTTTTTGTGTGTTGCGCGCAGTCGGGAGCGAGTTTTGGAAGCAGCTGTGCGCCGAGCATGGCATCAGTCCAGACGGCACCCTCCAGGAGTTTGCTTCGCACGTGAGTGTGCAGGTGTATTGTGTAGAGCATGTACGATACTACGTGTTTATCTCTTACCGCTGGTGGACCATGCTGGCTCACACAGCACAAGGTACACTCGTCGATGGCCACAGCTCTTGGTTGTTGGTGTCTGTCCTACTGTACTTCGTCTCTCCTCGTCTCGTCTCGTCCCAAGAAGTTCGAAAGGCCGAGGACTTTTTCTCTCTTCATATTTGTTGAATGGGACGTACGTGTCGAACAAGCCGAAAGATGCGTATTAATAGTTTCAACCATCCAATGAATCAATCAATCATTCAATCAATCAATCGACCAAGGAGTGCAACCCGTGCTGAAAAGGCTACACCAATAGCCTCTTGGAGCCGTATGTTGAAGCCGTCGAAGTAGTCACTGCGGCCTTGACGTCATTGCCTTGCTCTCAACGCTGTCGATGCGATGAGCAGGGTATAGAATAGCCCCCCCTCCAACCGCCCCGCGGTGTTTGCCATCGGGGTTGGGTTTTCGTCGCTTGGCAACGACGTTGTAAAACAAGCCAGTTCACTTCGTGAACTCGGCAACCAGGTTACCGTTTTTTTTTTACCTCTGTTTTTTTATTGGCGGTAACTATAATTGTGGTCGAGTAGATCATGCTGTGCGGGGTGGAGAACACTCGCTCCGCGCAAGGGGGATGATCGCACCACGTTGTATTAAAGTGGTCAAGCACCCTCGAGGCAGTTACACAGTACTTATAA